TGGCATCCGGGCATATTTAGCAGACAGCATACTTCCTGATTCACCATAGGAAGCAGCCGTCATGAAAAAGTGAGCAGCAAACTTCGAGTTGAGAAACAAAGAGCTCTTCAAGGCGGGTTTCCTTAAAACTCTATTGAAGTGTGTTACACCAGAAAAGGGGAAAGAAGTTCTTGAAGAATTGCGTGCTGGATATTGTGCCTCTCATATAGGCGGCAGGTCCCTAGCCGTCAGAGCCAGGCGACATTACTTTTGGCCCACTCTTGAAGCAGACGCTAAAGTGTTGGTGAAGAGATGTGACAAATGCCAGAGGTTTGGCAAGCTTATTCACCGCCCGACTACTAATCTGACGGCAATCCACAGCCCAGTCCTGTTTGCTAAATGGGGCATGGATATCCTGGATCCCTATACGCCTGCTCCAGGCGGAAAGCGCTACATTTTAGTGGCTGTGGATTATTTCACCAAATGGGTAGAAGCTGAGCCGGTCAAGAACATCAAGACAAAGGATGTCATCTCTTTCATTTGGAAGAACATCATCACCCGATTCGGGGTACCTATGTCTATGGTGTTTGATAATGGCCCTCAGTTTGAAATACCTCATCTTAAGACTTGGTTGGGAGATCAGAGTATCTCACATTGTTTTGAATCAGTCGTCCGACCCCAAGCAAATGGCCAAGTTAAAGCTTTCAACAAACTCATCTCAGACGGCATAAAAAAGAAAATTGAAAGAGTCGGTGGCTTATGGGCAGAAGAGCTAATGCATGTCCTATGGGCCATCCGGACTACTGTCAAAGGGGCAACCGGTGAAACCCCATTTCTTATGGTATACGGTGCTGAAGCCGTCTTGCCCATTGAACATTATGAGCCGACTCTCAGAGTCATGCTTTATGATGAAGAGGCAAACTGGGAGGCCATGTGGCTAGCGTTGGACTCCCTCCCGGAACGCAGGGGCAATGCTGCCCTGCGCCATGAGATATACCGTATGAGAATGACAAGAGCCTACAACAAGAAAGTGCGCAAGCGTCCTTTAAAAGTTAACGACTTTGTGTTACGTAAAATGGAGGCAACCGGTAGGGCCAATGAAGCTGGAAAGCTAACTCCTAATTGGGAAGGCCCCTACCGGATTTATGAAGAAGTCAGGGATGGCACTTACCGTCTGGAAACTCTAGACGGTCGGCGTCTACCTAGAACTTGGAATGTAGATAACTTAAAAAAGTACTACTTCTGAGAAATGTAAATTTTTTGTAAACAGTGAGTCAATCAATGAGAAATCAGGCTTTGTTTGCAAAATTGTTTTTCTATCCTTATAATTACTTATCCGCCTGGGTTATCCTCAGACGGAACTTATGTTTAACTGTCTAAGCTTGACACTTAGTGTAGATTCAATGATATAATTATTTATCCGTCTAGGTAATACTCAGACGGATTACTAGTTTAATCAACTAAGTTTGATACTTTGTGTAATTTAATGTTATACTTACCCTTCCGCCTAGGTAATACCCAGACGGACAAATTGCTTACCCAACTAAATTGACATTTAGTGTAAATATGATATCGCGTGGCCAATGGCCAGCTTGAAAAAACTAAGTACAAAAACTCTTAGTGGCTATACAACCGGTCTCAAACAAGACCAAAGGCCAAATGGTTGGATGGTTGTTTATTTTATAAAATCGCCTGTCCCAACATGGACAATGGCGTCCAGCAACACCCCTCCGGATGCAATCGTCGCAGAGAACAGACTCTTCGTCAGTTCTACGTACCTTTTGTAACACCCCAATAATTCTCTCTTAAAACCTATAAATACCCTGAACAAAATCCAAGAGAGTTACTGGCGTGCTACCGCCACGTGTTCAAACGTTAAGGCTTTATCAGAAAATAGCAGCGGAAAAACAAACTCAGTTATAAATCAGTTTCAAAACCAATAACCAAAACCAAATTAAATGATACAAGCTGGAACCATTAAGGCCCTTATTCAAAACCCAACAAAATTAGTAAATAAATAAAACCAGAGTTTAAATAAATTCAAACTTATGAAAAGAAATAAACTATGAATAATAACCAACTCTCTACTCAAAATCCCACAACCCTGATGCGAATGCTGCGTATGTAAGAACCTGTGGTTAATCTGCTCCCCAATATTACAAGTGTAAAAATTGGATCGCCACATGGTCATTGAAAGGCGAAGGCCATGACCAAAGAAAGGCACACACAAAAGCACGCAATCAGTAAAGCTGAATACATACAAGCTGCGAAACAAATTAAGAAATACCTAACATGCTACTAATAATCAAGCATAAGCATCATTAAATACAGACTCAACACATGGCTCAATTATCAAATTTATTAAGACCTCACTAGTTGATATTAACAAACTTATTTATTTATTTCATTGGATTTAGCAATAGACAAGGTTGTCCAACCCATGTCCCATTTGGAACATCAATAAAAGAAACACCCCATGCCTCATTTCGGAAACATCAATAAACATCCAACGACCATGGGCGCGACTCCGTGACTGTAGTTAGTATGAGATCTCACCTAACTCCTAGTTTTTAAAAAAATATTTGAAATAGGAGACTCGTAGATCAGACGGCCTCGATAAAAGTACACAGCTAATACCCCATGTACCCCAACCCCCTGATTGTCATTACTCCAGATGTGCACCAATCCAAAGTTTTATTGCTCATCCATCTTGCACTTTACGTGATTTACAGGTTTAGACTTAGTGATGACTCATATGCATAACAATACAAATACTCCAAACACAATTCGATCAAACAAGGCAAGTTTCCAATTTCAATTCTGGATTTATTAGTGACAAACAACATTTATTATTTATTCCTTTACTACCTCGGTGTATAAACACCTTGAGTGCATAAGGCACCCCAAAACCATAACCTCGTCATATAAGACTTGAATTCTTCCTTTACTCATCCTATTTGCATAATCATGAATAAGTAATAAATTAATCTTTACACTAATCACATACCTTTGCCTCTAAGCGCACCTTGCATAATTAGAGCACAAATAATACTTGCAATATAAAATAGTGCACATCATATGAAATTCATAATGTATAACTAAACAATCTAACTCAGTCATCCTTATACATGATACTAAGTTCTCGATCCATCCTTAAACATGCACCTACAAGAAAGGTTTTGTAACTTGTATGTACCTTGAGCAAACGAATTGGTATGCCACTTTACTAACTAGAAATCACCTTCAATAAACTCCTCTCCTAAACCAAACAATAACATCTCAATCAATACCCAATCAATCAAATTTACATCAATACTAACTTACTTTAAAACCTTCAAAATCCAAATCAAACAACACTTTAAAACCTTCCCTTTAGTTAAAATTAAAGGCTTATATATAGTTCTTTGAATTTTCTTCATAAAAACCTTAAAATACACTCTTATACATGAAATTACAGCAAGTTTAAAGTTTAATAAAAATCTGAAAATTATTTTAAAACCCCTAATAATCTCCCTTTTTAATGGGTGATTAAACCCTCTTTATATAACATCAAAAAGAATACTTAGAAATTATTTCCACCACTGAAAACTTCAATAAAAACATATATTTATGCTTAATTAACTTTAAACATAATTAATTTTATCAATCAAACTCAAGGATAATATTTTAAGTATAAAAAAACTTTGTTAAAATAAAAAAGTGCCCGAAAATCATATTTAGAGGCTGAATTTGGCCACGATAGGGTGGTGCACACTACCAAAGGCAGTGATTCTTTCTTAAAACGTTGTTTCCACATTAAAAACACTACTTTTTCATAAAAATTGGATGAGTTCAGAACCTGATCGGGATTAAAACGGGATTAATATTAACGAACGGAAATCTAAAAAAATTAAAACACGAATTTACATGTTCAAATTAATATGGAATTAAGTTAAACTAATCATTAGTTATAATCACCAAAATTTCAAAACATCATTACTACAAAAGCCCTAAATCAATTGTTCATAAAAACCTTAAAATCATGATTTTCAAAAATTAAAAACCCTAGGTTATAAAATTTACAAAATCTGAAAATTATGACATTTATAAAATCTGAAATTATAAAGTTTAATCATCAAAATACAACTTGATACTAATTAAATTAATTTCAAACAATAAAATCAAAACCCATAAATCAATAATTATAATCATACAAATTAATAAAACTAAGGAGAAAGAAAATAAGACTAACCTTTTTGTGTGGGAAATTTTTGGGGATTCATGAGGTATTTATAGGAGAGAATTGTAGGGTAAATAGGAAGATTGGGCCTCATAAAAATAATGGGTCGATTAAGTAAACAAATGGGTTAGGATTGTGTGATTGGACATAAATTGTAGAATAAAGGTGCATAAAATAATTTGTTCAAATAATTTTCGACCCGGATTAATAATTTGAAACTTTTGAAATTAAATTATGAAAAATAACAAATAAATATTATAAATAAAATAAATTTTCATTTATAAAATATTTAAAATTACGGGGGATAACACCTATGCAAAATTGAACGACCAAATTGGTCAACTCATAGTTGTCTGACCAGAATAATCTGCGAGAAACGGTTAAGTTACCGAATACCGGATACCCCGAGGCATTAGTCGGTTGCCGGCAGAAGTTCCCACTTAGATTATTTGTTCCAAAGTTGCACTCTCTCTCCCAATTGGGGCAAAAGATTTTGTGTAATGGCTATGTGATAATCCTAGACGAAATATTACCGTCTGGGTAAGAGACTCGAAGCACCCGTTCTAATGGCCGGCTGTGCACTTGGTTTGGGGCAATCACCATTGTGATTGATTGGCCTAAAAACACCTCATACTTCTCCAAGTATCAAGTGTTTTTAAGCCAATCAATCAATTTGAAATGAAACCAACCACACAGCCGTCCAGGGGCAAGAGCACCCGGATTGCGAATTTCCGCATGCTTTTTTAAGTTAGGCAAAATATTAAAGAATTGCAAATATACGCAAAGGTCAAATTGAAAAATTCAAACAAACACAAATATATATAAATAACCGACTAAGTCGGAATACTTCATAAAAAGGGCACAAAGGCCAGAATAATTGTTAGCCGGAATAACATCCGGAGAAGAAGCAAAAGAAAATGATTGTTACCCAACTCCACATTTGGTAAAAATGCAACATTACTCGGCATACAAGCCGGAAAAGAAAGAAATTGACATACTGCCGCTGAATTTGGGGAGGCTCGCCTAAGGCTGAGGTGGAAGCTGCTGTTCCGACTGGTCGTGGCCGGTTGGGAGGGCTTCAGATTGGTTATCAGCTACTTGAGGCTAATTACCTTCGTTTTGCTCTACCTCCGCCGGCTCCTCATTGTCCGACACTTCATACCCTTGCTCGGCAGCCCAGTCTTGGAAGCGACGCGGAGGAGCCTAACCCAGCACTTGGGCATCATACACCTCAGTGGCGTAATCATACCTAAGTTTATAGACTTCAAAGTCTATATCTGGGTAGAGGAGGCTCCAAGTGATCTTCAGGCGGGCTGCATTGTCCCGCTCATTTTCCTCCATCAGCCGCTTTTGCTCCTGAGCGATCTCGTCCGACTACTTGATCCGTAGTGTGACAATCTCAACCCCCAGTCGGGAGACATCTGCCTAGAGTTTGGTATTTTCTTTGTCAGCATCTTCTAATGCCTTGAGTTCAGATTGAGCATCCTTCAGTTTTTGCTCAAGGTCATTAGCCCGGCTAGTGGCCTCATTGTTTGCAGCCGTCAAGCTCCGGATCAGCTCCTCCAGTTTCAACTCTATTGCTTTAATCTCTAAATCACACATATAATTAGCATATTCAACAGAGTTGAGGTTTTCAAGGGCCCTCCGTTTGACGTCATTTACCTCTTCCTGTTTCCGCCTAAAGGGGCCCCGGAGTCCGTCCACTCTCAGCATTACCCGGGAAAAGAACAGCCGGATTATGATATACTTAGTTAAAATAAAGAAAAGATATCAGGGTTGTGGGATTCTTTACCTCAGCCAACTGGCCCATTATTCGGTCGAAGTCCACTACCTGCAGATAAGGTATTGAATTCTTCTCTGACCGGGTGAGGGTCCTCACCATCCGTTTTGTGAAACCAGCAAGATCCGGCTCGTCGGATGTAAGATCTGCACCAAAAGTAGAATTACTTTGTGAGAAGGAAGCAGCATAGTTGGCATTCATCCGTTGTCGGCTGCTGACTGAACCCCCGGAGGGGTCTACCTTAGTCTTGACTCTCATGAAGTGGCCAAGGTATTTCAATCTTTCCCTTACCTTGGGTATTCGGATGGGGCGTAGGAGTCTCTTCCCCCCCGGTTGTTGCCGCACCGGCTGCAACATTAGGTGGCGGGCCACCCTTCGATGTCGTGGAGGCATCCGACGCTTTCTGCTACGAACGCTCCGAGCCTTCGCTCAGAATTTTCATTGCAGCAGGGGATTTGCCACTGGTCGTGGGACGACCGGTTTGGGCAGTAGAGGTTGACCGGGGAGGGTCCTTTCTAGCGGCCTTCGCAGCCGGAGTCCCAGATCTTCTCCTTGCCTTTTGAAAAGCTTGGAGAAGGATCGTGGCACGCGTTTTACAGAGTCCTACAAAATAAAAAATAATAAAAAAAAAGTTAAGTATACCCAGCCGGCAAACTGCCTTAGTAAAAAATATATACATATATTAATACTAAGACAGGCGGTCTTACCCCGCCCTTCTTGGACTCTTTCGCTTTAATGGCTGCTTTCCTTGCAATAGCAGCCTCCTTGCGCAGCAGCGCCGCCGACTTAGCCGGAGTTTTGGCCGGATCAACCATCTTCAAGGCGTCGGCTGCATGAATAGAATAAAAGTTAGAAGAAATTACGGAAAGTTTGTAATGAAAGAATAAAATCACAAATACTCCGGATGCAAGTGGATCTACCCTTGGGGAACATGAGACTTAACCCACAGGCGGACAAGAAGCATTCGTCCTTGAAGTAGTCCGGGTGGGGGATCCAATTTTTGGGAACTATAATATGAGTCCCATCCCCCATGGGCTCAGTAGTGGTTTCAAATAAACCCGGCTCCATTATTTGCTCCCGGGCCTTATTAGATAGCTCCGGGAGAGGGCACTTCCTGCCCAGAAGAGTCGGTTCCGTGTAGTACCAGCGCAGTGTCCGGTTGTGTCTCAGAGTTGGAGAGGAAATCAAATAAAACTTATCTTTCCACCCAGACCATTTGGACACCTTATCCAAACTCATCAAATACTGGGGCAAGGTGGAAAGAGTGTACCATGCCCCATGACCGCCTGGTGCCTTGCTCAAGTAATGCATATGAGCGAAGGCGGAGAAGCTGGGACTTATGTTCTGGAGCTCGCAGGCGGTGATGTAACTCAAAATGTTCACCCATAAGTTGGGGGTGAGCTGCCAAACTCCTAGATCATACCCCTTCAGGATTTTCCTAATCCCGGTATAGAGGGGGAACCGAAGGCCGGCTTCTATGACCGCCTCGTAGTAGACAATGTAATGGTCTGCATTATCTATGTCATCGTCCCATGCCATTACTGCGTCAGCAGGCAGGACGATAATATCCCACCCCTTTCCAAAGGGGTGCTTCTCTTTGAAAGCCCTAAAGCCGCTCTTTAACAGGGCAATGTCCCCGGCAGCTTTCTAGTCCTTTTAGGGTTAGGGTTGTCAGCGACTTAAGGCCGCTGCTGATAGTCAGCCGCAAAGTTATCCTGGTCAGAGCCACAAGATTCAGCCCTTGACCCTTCACCGACCTCATCACCGCCGGATCCATTAGAGGTGGCGGCTTCCTCACCTCCTTCCTCCCGTACGCCTGAGCTCCCGGAAGTAGAGGGAGCCTCTTCAGAACCGCTCTCCTCCAAATCCTCATGTTCCCCATCCGGAACAACCTCATCGGCTGACACTGACATAGTGCGCCGGCTCCTAGACCTTCTGGCCATCTGTTTCATTCTGGCCATTGTGTCCTGCACATACATAGAGAGGGAGGAATTCTGAGATGAGCACATCGATTCTCACAGTCCAAAAAAGGCACCCCCTGTTCTAGACTCAGCCGTTCCAGGGGACCGGCTGAGTGTCCTAGGCAGTGCCGAGTGTGTGGATTGAGAACTCATTTTTATTTCTACACTATGTATACAGGCGGAGAAAGAATATATACAAGTTGAAAAGGAGAAAAGCTAAAGATGGTACAGGCGGTTACCTTACTTTAGTTCTGATAAATCTGAAAACAACTACAGATGGTGAACCGGGTGTTGCAACGTTAGCACACGGAAATCCGAAAAACTTTGACGCGGACGGAGGCAGAGAATCTCTCTCTAAAAATCTCTCTTTCTCTTTAGAAAGTCAAATGAAAATGAAGTGAGAGAAAAAGGGGTAGGTAAACTTCTATTTATAGAAGGTGAAAACGGGGGCATTCCCGTTTGAAATTTGAATTTTACTATCCGTTGTTACTGTTCACCTCTGATAGGTGGACACGTGTCATAGGCCCCACGTGACATGCATGTGACCCCTATGAGGGGCAAATGTTTAGGGTAAAAATACCCTAGACAAGTGGACCAATGAGAGGAGGCCACGTGATGAGCTTAGGAGGGCCCAAGTGGCCCAATATCCTCTTGACACGTGGCCCCCTTAGATAAGCCTCTGAAATGGCGGCCTTCAAGGGCCTAAATCCCTAGGAGCGCCGTAAAACGGCGCAGCCCACTAAAATCTAGGTCAAGTGACCTAGATTGGGGCACATTCTCCAACGACCCTATAAATAGGGAGATATTTCCCCATTTTGGGGACACATTGAATTATTTATTACACCTACATTCTCTCTCATCAGAGAATTCAAACAGATCCCCACCTAAATTTTTGTACTCTTTATTCTCTTTCAAGTTACTAACTTGATCTTCGGAGGCGGAGCTCCAACCACCCGGAGTCTCCGTTGTTTTTGCAGGTACAGCTCAACTGGACCAATCTTTGTGATGTAGCTCAACTGGTCAAGTCTCCGTTGTTTTTTGCAGGTACAGCTCAACTGTATTTGTAGCTTCTTATTGGGTTTTAGTCTAGCAATCTCTTTACATTTGTTTCTTCCTCTCTTTTTTGCATTAGCTGCTTGCTTCTTAGTAGTAGATTGGTCACCACCTTCAAAGAAAATAATGTCTTTTTAAAAATTAATAGTTTCAAAAGATAACGATAAAGCAAAAGTACAAATCTATATCTATACCTAAGTAATAGCATATCACTGACATGGGAAAAATAAACAAAGTGAACTCAAAAAAGGTATTAAAAATTTAGGTATTACCCCTTGCATCTCCTTGAAATGTTGTAGGTTCCTCTGTTCCATTGTCATTTCCATCAACTTGAAAGTTCAGCTCGTTGTCAAGGCCATCAAGAGTTTCATAGCCTTCTTGATAAAGCATATCTTGATCTTCATGTGATGTATATTGTATCTCACCATCAGCATCAACATCATCATTGATATTCTCATTACATGACTCAGAAAATGAATCATGATCATCTATATTAGTATTACCATTAAACTGAGCACAGGGAGTAACTAGTGGATTAAAGGAAGCTCTTACGTTTCTATCAGCATTAGGGGAAGTGGTTGGAGGTCTATCATGAGTAAAAGGGCGTTTATTTGATGATAAAGGGCCTTTATTAACACAAAGAGAATCATTACCATTACTAGCACGGGGAGTAACTAGTGGATTAAAGGAAGCTCTTACGTTTCTATCAACATTAGGGGAAGTGGTTGGAGCTCTAACATGACTAAAAGGAAGTTTATTTGATAATAAAGGGCCTTTATTAACACAAAGAGAATCATACTATTACTAGAACGGATTAAAGGATGTTTACTTCTGTGTAAAATACCAGTACTAGCCCCTATTCCATCAACATTAGCATTAGCATTACTTTTGTTTGGATATAGACCTGCTAACCCCTTTCCACGTCCTTTAGAGAGCATAAGAGGTGGAACATACTCCCTTTTAGATCTTAGCATTGATGCTCTTTGAGTGGATCCATTAGGGACAACCATTATGTTCCTGTTAATTAACATTAAAAGATTAAGATTAGATTTAAACAAACAATTTACTTTAGTATTTCTATCTAGGATATCAATAAAACAAGCATGTCACACTTTAGACAATTAGGGAATACTAATAAGAAAATAATTGTATTAAAAAAAAAAAAAAAACACACACACACACACACAAAAGACTGCCAGGGGGTTTCTAGTATTGCTCGTGCATAGCACTCCACATCAAAATTTATTTCACCTGTACCTTTACATGTCTGACATAATTTGATACATGTTTGGCATAACCTTCAACAACTTTAAAACAGAGAACATACAAGATCTGCCTATCAACTGTCAGTATTAGAATTATATTCTTTAAGTGGCAGGTGCTTGTGTGTTGCTTGTTGTTTTGCAACCAGGACATTCAAGACAGCAACATAATTTTATTCAGAAAAACAATAAGTTTTATTCATCCAACATTGGATGCAGGAAAATATTAATAAAAACAAGCACTAGGCATCAAAGACAATAACAGAGAACTACACCATTGCCATTTAAATGTTAGTAGGAGATAATTCATGGGCGTATTATTCTTCTAGAAATAAATAAAAACAATGAGAAAAAAGATAATTGACGAGATTATTCTTCTCTTCTCCTCTTCAGAGATAGTTCATCCCCTTTTTTTTTGGAAATCGCACTCACAAAAATTGGATCTATACCCATCCGACTTCTATAAATTTCAGCACTTGCAATAGTTGACGAAGTTGCAACATAAGTAGGCTTAAAAAATTCACCCTGCTGATATGCATCACCTTCCTCAAAATCATTATCCTCCTCACTTGATAAGTTGCGAGGTTGAGTCTTTGACACGATATACCAACCTTTGTTAGTATTGTCAATGGCATAAAAAGCTTGTCCTGCTTGGCTAGCTAAGATATATGGTTCATTAGTCTTTAATTACTTATTGCAATTAACACTAACAATTCCATATTCGTCTTCTTTTACTCCTCTAACCTTATCAAATACGTCCCACCATTTACAACGAAATAACACTACTCGATTTCCTCCTAGATATTGCATTTCAATTATATCAGTTACTACTCCATAATAATCTGTGTTATCATCTTCTTCTCCGGTGTTTCCAATCACAACCACTCCACTATTTTGTGTTCTCAAAGTCTTCTCACGATTTTGTATGTGAAATCTATACCCATTCACAATATAACCACTAAAAGAGTTACATATTGGGTTGGCCCACGTGATAGTGAAAGGAGATTTTCCATTTCCTTGCTCTTATTATTCACATATAACCGAGCAACCTACCAGAAAGTACAAAAAAAAAGATTATGTATTAATGGCGAACTTGAATCTCAATTATCTTATTATTTGATTAAATTTAAAAGGCTTACTTATTCTTTGAACCACAATTTAAAATTCTCAGTCCTTTTCTCTTCGGATATTCCATTAATTGGACAGGCTTGAGAATATTCTCTAAAATAAAATAAAATAAAAAGTTGATGATGAAACTATAGCGATGGAAAAAAAGTAAAGAAACTTAATTAAGGCTAAGAGTCTTACTCAAGGAATGGTTGAACCTCATCACAATTCTTCAAAATATAATTATGAGCTTGATCTAACTCAGACTTTGGAACATCGATGACAGTTGGAGCTCCTAAGCCTCGGCCAGGATGACTAAATATAGGCAAGGCCTCATCATCACCATTTGCATTTTCATAATTTTGCTCTAGACGATTAAATCTAGTTTCAATATTCTGCATGTACCTTGAGCAAAGAGTCATGCACTCATCTGCTAAATAGCCCTCTGCAATTGAAGCCTCTGGACGAGCCCTATTTCTTATGTAAGACTTGAGCTTGTACATATACTTCTCAATAGGATACATCCATCTGAACTGAACCCAACTCTAGCTTCACTAGCTAAGTGAACAGGTAAATGCATCATCACATCAAAGAAAGAAGGAGGAAACAACTTTTCTAATTTGCAAAGGGTGATAGGAATTTGAGACTCTAGTTGTTTCAACTCTTCCACATTGATTACTTTAGCACATAAAATAGTAAAATACCTTGACATCTCAATTAGTGCTTCGCGTACAAGTGGAGTTAGTAGGCCACGCATTGCTACAGGAAGAAGATGTTCGAGTATAACATGGTAATCATGACTCTTCAACCCTGAAATTTTAGCCTCCTTAGAGTTGACACAATAGGATATATTAGATGAAAAACCATCTGGAACCTTTAATTCTTTCAAAAAATTGCATAAAGTGCGCTTCTCTGTAGAAGAAAAAGTAAAAGGGGTTGGAGGCATCTTCCACTTGCCCCCTTCTTTGATTGGATGTAATGTTGGCCTCAATCCCATTTCTTTTAAGTCATGACGAGATTTAATATTGTGTTTTGTCTTCCCTTTCACATTCATTAATGTCCCTATAATGCTTTCACTAATTTTTTTTTCAATATGCATCACATCCAGATTATGTCGTAATTGATGCATCCTCCATTAAGGAAGTTTAAAGAAAATACTTTTTTTATTCCAATTATCCCCCCAAAGCTCATGAGATATATTTGTCTTCACTTGTGGATCATTAGACAATATGATATTCTCGAGATCCTCTAGTTGACGAAGAATTTCATCGATCGAACAAGGTTTCGGAGGTAAACCGTGCTCCACCGTACTGTTCCATCAAATGAAGCCTTATCCTTTCGCCATCTATGATTCTTTGGCAAATACACTCGATGGCCCATATAGCATTCCTTACCTCCATGAGATAACCTCTTTGATTGTGTTTCTTTAAGACAACAAGGACATGCTAAATAGCCCTTAGTACTCCAACCTGATAACATTGCATATTCTGGAAAATCATTAATGGTCCACATCAAAGCTGCACGTAGTTGAAAATGATGTTGAGTTGCTGCATCAAAAGTATTTACCCCGGTGGCCCACAAGTCATTCAATTCCTCGATCAAAGGTTGCAAATATATGTCAATTGCGTTACCAAGCCCTTTAGGTCCAGGAATAAGCATTGATAGAATCATATTAGACTGCTTCATACAAAGTTCGGGGGGCAAGTTATAAGGAATAAGAACCACTGACCAAATACTATATGATGTTTTCGAATTTGAAAAGGGTTGAAAACCAACACTAGCGAGCCCTAACCTAACATTTTGAGGATCTGATGCAAAATCGGGAAATTCTTTATCAAATAAATCCCAAGCAGCTCCATCAATAGGGTGTCTCATCGTACCATCTTTCTTCTTTTTACCATGATGCCAAGTCATCAAAGAAGCAGTTTTTGAGCACATGAATAATCGTTGAAGCCTAGGCTTTAGAGGAAAGTATCGAAGGGTTTTCTGAGGTATTTTCTTGCCATTTTTCTTGCACTTGTCCTCACCGTTGTGTTTGTTACTTTTCCATCTTGAAGCACCACACACATTGCATGCATCCAACTTCGCACCATCTTTCTAATATAACATATAGTCATTGATACAAGCATCAATTTTCTCATAAGAAAGCCCCAAATCTTTGATGATCTTCTTTGACTCATAATAAGAATCGGGCAAATTTGATTTTTTTGGGCAAAAGCTCTTTCTTAAGGAAATCTAATAGCATGGTAAATGATTCATTACTCCAACGACCAAGAGTTTTGATATGAAGGAGTTTTAAGAGTGCAGACATTCTAGAACTCTTGCAACCTTCATAAACAGGATCTTGCGAATCTTTCAATAAGCTATAAAATTTCTTAGTGTCAGCATTTGGCTCCTCAACATTGTTGACATCAATGGGAGAACTACCATTATTATACTCTGGATAGAAATCCCGTAAGATATTATGTAGCTCATCTTGGTTTTCATGATCTATCCCATCATCCTTATCAGATTCAAGTTGAGGCTCATCTAACCCCTCTACATGATGATACCAAAAGGTATACCTTTTAACTACTCCAAAAACTAGTAGATGTTCTCTTACTTTTTCAAGATTACCAGACTCTCCATTCATACATTGACAACAAGGACAACGTATTGTTGTAATTTTTAATTTTTTAAATGCATAGTCTAAAAAACTATCTACTCCCTCCACATATAATGGGCCATTAACATAATCTTCAATAGTCATCCAATCTTTACTAGGATTCATTTCTACAAACCAAAAAAAAAAAATAAAGGAATAAAAAAAGAATAAAATCATTGATGACTAACAACTTTTCAGGTTATTATACTGTAATTTTATGGGCCATTAATGAAAGAAAGTCATCATTTCCATTTATATTCATGTAAAAGAAAGCTCAAACCATATACAATGGAAACCTTTATAATTTTATATAAATCCATGCTAATAAGGACAAAAATTCATGTCTGACAGATTTGTTGTATGAATCATATCCATTTCAAAGTTTTTAATGCATAAACATGATGTGGCTTTAGCTAAAACGGTTATACAATATCAAAGTAATTCCAATTATCAATATGCATTGCAACCACAAATCCACTAATTAAATAAGTGCAAGCATCACAGTTGTACATATACTGCTATCAAAACTCAAAAGTGTACTTTAACTGGCATATGTAATGATCCGAAACGTGTATCTCACTTACTCAACCAACACAATACATGCATTTCCTAGTCATTTATTTCTAAACTGCTCTACAATTTATATTAGTTTGATGCCAAGGCAACACAAAATATACATGAACCGAGAAGAAAAACTGAGTGGGTGAAGAATCAAAGGTGATGTCATACTCTGATGGTAAAATATAGAATTAATCAGGCAAAGATGTAGATAACAAGTCCTAGCTCTAACGCATGCAATAGAAATCATTGACTAAAATTTCACCCTTTTCGTCGGCACAATAATAATAAAATAACACTGGTATAACAGAGGGACAGCAGAATTAAGGGGAAAAAAAATACCTCTGTTTTGGAGGATGAGCCAATAATAAAGGTGTTGGCTAGAGAACCCAAAGGATTAAAAGAGGAGGATGAGCCGGAATTGTTACAAGAAGCACCA